TCCAGTTTGCACGTAGCCGGTTTTCGTCGTCACAAAAGTAGTGATGCTGGCGCTGACAACCGACAAAGCCGAGGATAGTGGTGCAGATGGAGGAGCCGGAAGGAGGTCGCGTGAAAATGAGTGGTCATGGAGCACGGTACGACGAGGCCACGACAAAATGTACGACGGCACCCGCGACCAGGCGCTGGTAGTCTCAGACTGGACGGACATAATATCGCAGACTGGGCAGATGATTGGACGAAATATTTCGGAAAGCAAGGGAATAATCGGTCAGAATAGTCCGTCGGACAACAGTCTTCAGACGGGAACTGACTGTAGTCTCAATCCATCACTCTGTCAGGCAGCCAATCAGAGGCGACCATGAGTTGACTTCGGCCAGTTGGTAAGATCGTCGATTTGTGGTTCTCTGGGTAGGGCATTTTCCAACTTGCTGCCATGGTTCCTACGTCAGGAGCAGCCGGGAAGAAGAAGCGGTCTTCGTTGTTGTCTTTGACTCGTCGCAACGCGGAGATCCAGAGCGAGGCGGCTGTCTTGCGGCAGACTGATCGTCAGGCAGACGAGGCTAATAGAGCAGCAGCGCAGGCCAACGACGCCGCTCATCAGCGACGGCTGGCATTGGCGAATAAGATCGTGGCGTTGGCGGAGGCGCAGCAGGACGAGTTCGATCGATGGGTGCCAGAAACGCCGGAAGACTACACGGTGGGCGAGTACCTCCAATGGTATACCGCACAGCCTGGCCTGTCCATGAAGTCCAAAGTACACCAAGAGGCGTCCGTGGCCGCGTTTCGAGCGGAGAGGAAGATGAAAGCTAGCGTGCACGGCCTGGACTCCGATGAGGACGAGGGAAAGACGATCGATGAGAAAGGAGAAGATAACGGGGGCAGCCGTAGCGCGTCGGACGATGAAGACACCGAGTCGGAGGTAGAGCTCCTTGTCACCAGCGTCGTCGACTCGTACAGCACGAAACAGTTGAGTCGCTTGAAGCGGCCGTCGCCCCCGACGATATCGACTGTCGCCCAATCACACAAGCGGATGAAACACTAAGCGAAGCTGGCCAGTTCGCTTCGAATAGATGAGAAAGGGGTGAAACGCCTGGAGCACATCCGACATTCCTTGTCTGAGGCCGTGAAGAAGGCTTACATCGCAGCGCGTGATCGGAAGCCGTGGGAGCAATGGGTGGAGAACTTTGTCTCGTTCGTGCCCGGTCAGACGATGGCTGAGCGGTCGTGGAATTACAGCCTACACCGGTTTTGGGAGGAGCACGGCTAGGTTATTTGGAACCGGTATTTCTGGATCGGATGTGGTACTGCCGAGGAGGGATATCATGTACTGTACGTCGGTCATCCTTCGGTAGTTGTGGTGATGCGAGTGGCTAGGTCCACGCTTCGTCCAACGATCCCAAACACAAACAAGAGAAGGCCAAGAACGAGTGGTAAGGCTGGTGTCTGAGCTGCATAGGTTCGCCGGGACGTCGGTGTTCCACTTTCTGTTTCACAATGTCCACCCGTATTGGGCCGAGATCACGCAAGAGCCGTACAGTCTGGCGTCGATGCAGACCAGCCTGGGCGAAGAGGAGACCGTATGATACATCGAGACGCACGGGACGAGCTGTTGGCCCAACATCGTCGCGTTTTCGGGAGGCATGCGTCTACCACGTTTTCAGGCCTGCACGTTCGACCCAGCGTTGCCAGCTGCGATGCACGAGACGTGGGCGTGGGACTTCGTCTCTGCACAGATGCGACTCAAGAAGGCGCCTGGATGGGTGGGTCCCATGTATGACGAGGCGAACTCGGGCCTGGCGGCGACGCGTGGCAGTCCTTTCCCCTTTGTGCAATTTCCATCAGATATTTACGAACAACCCGTCTGGGTAGCGAGGCAGAACTCGACGGACCCCAACCTGCAATGTGAGTTTGTGGCGGTCTTGGGTCAGGCAAACGCGGTGCGGTTAAGTACAGGGCAGCCCGTGGATAATACTGACGTGTTGGGAGGTCAGCCTGTCGACGTCCGAGGGGTGACGTTAAAGAATCGTTAGTGGGGCCGTCGTAACGCGTATTCAGTAATTCATATGGCTTTGATGTGCGTGTCCTTGTTGTCGAGGTAGTCTAGAACTGAACCAGCGTTTGGCGTTCCACGTCGAGGTCTTTGTATCGTTTCGAACGCCGAAGTGGTGGCAATCCCAAGTCCATTCGTCGAGATGTCTCGAAGTCGTCCACAAAAGATCGGTATGCGGCCAGTTTGGAGTCGGCCATCCAGTATTTAAGACCGTCGGCATGTTCGACCAAGTACTCCTTTTCGCGGGAGTGAGGTACACGTCGCAGGTTGACTACTCGGAAAATCGGCGACGAGGTAGATGAGTAAGCAACGTAGTCATCTGGAAAGAACACTCGTTCCACGAATCTGGACGAGGGTAGGCAGTCGATCGACAATTCGTCGGAAGCTTCGTCAGCTTCGGGAATCTCGTCGTCGAACGGTCGTGAATAGTAGCCCCGAAATCGTTTGAGTCGGTCGACATTCACAGTTACCATCTTGTCAGTGTGACGGTATGTCGATCTTGAACGTGTTTGGGTAAGCCCTTAACGCTACGATCCAAGTGTCGTTCGCCTGTTCGTTGTACAGTCGGGGCGAAGGTCGACCCCGTCGGTCGTACAAGTCAATGGGCTGGGGGGCTTTGTTCGAGGTTGGTTCTGGTAGTCCTTGGTTGTGTGGAGTTTACTTCGGACGAAGGCGACCTGGTTCGACTAGATTCTTTCCCCGTCGTGAGGTCTGGGTCAGTCTGAGCCAGACGTCTC